GGGTATTGGGCCCTCATTGGGCCGAGTCTAACGTTTGTATCGAGTCAATGCTAGGTCATATGTTGTATCCTCTATATAAAGGCAATACCTTGGAACTTAATACACAAGAAACCTTTTTACCACTTTATAGGGTTCTTGACATATTTTGTTTCACATGTTTCAACTAATATTCTAGACCGTCGTCAAAGTTGAGACCAAGCCGTGGGAATCTCCCGGCGACTCTGGAGGTTTAGTTGCTATTAAGGTTGATTGAAATAGGTTTGGACATGAAAGGTGTTGATTGCGGTTGTTTTGTCTTGATGAAACTTTATTCTCAATAAATCTTGGTTTTGTGGTTTGAAACTGTTCATATTGAGATTGCGGTTTTTGTTCATTTAGAGAAGACAACAGTTATAAGGAACTCGAAAGAGTTCATATCTTTTGTATTTCATATATGGAGAAAGACGGAGATGTGTTTGATTTGGTGTTTGATGAGATTCTGGTGAAAGTGAATGTATGTACTTATAAATAGATAGAGAGAAGGCACAACAAATGATGTTTTTTATTTTACTTTTTGGTTCAATGTTATCTTCAATTTTTCATTTAATTTTAAAGTATATATGCAGTTTGGATTTTCCATTAAACAATGGATCCATAATTAACAGTCAAATTAATATTTAACTGATGAATAAACAATTGGATTCATGTAGATATCTCATAGTCTTGCTTTTACGCATTTTTATTAAGTAAAACTAGGATGGTACTGGCGCTATGCGCGAGATAATGATTATAGAGTAAAAATTATTACCAAGTGGATTCACGTAGATTTAACAAGTAACTAAACAACTGGATTCACGTAGATATCTCATAGTCTCGTTTTTATGCATTTAATAATTTTTACGATTGAGTCAATTGTCAACAATAAAACTTTGTGGGACATAGTTTTATGAGACTTTAATATGTAAAAAATTTTCTCAAAAATAAATGATCGGGAGATGATCACCAAGACTATTTTATCATGCCGTGAGACTTATAATTTATTTTGGTTACCACGTGGCATTTAACGATTTATTGCTTTTCAAATAAAAAAATTATCCTCGCCAATATTTATGTTATATATCGCTT